TATTTTGTTGTCTTAGTTTTAGGGTGAAATGATTCCAAACTTTGGATGTTCTCTGGATTTTACACACACACACACACACACACACACACACACACACACACACACACACACACACACACTTTCCGGAGTATCTTGTTAGATATGCAACATTAAGAGGTCGGGCCAAGTGGGTGACCATCGATCCCAAGTCCGAGTGAGTGAGTGAGTGAGTGAGCGTGAGCTGTGGCTGACAGCAGCTCCTGCCTGAGTGCAGTTATTTTCTTTGTGTGTTTTCGATGTTTAGTACACAAAAAAGTGTGTTCGCAAGTGTGGCTTTCCTTCCCCTCATGTGAGGGGCCAACTACAAAACCATTAAAAAAAAAATCTGTGTAAATCTCAGATTTCTGTTAACTAGTATTTAGTTGATTTATCCACCCCCTCCTGCACCCCTCCGCCCCAAAAAAATAAATGAATAATAATAATCACAATTTAGATGAATGGTGATACAGTGTAGGAATACTATGGTTTTGATTTCATCATGCTGCTTGTCTCAAAATCCAAGTATATATATAAAATATAACATTTATATTAGCATACCATTGTTTCATGAAAATTTGAAGTGATGAATCCACGCATTCATTTGATTGCAGAACGTTTTCGCTCATCCGAGCGGCCTCCTCTCTTCGCTGACCAGCAGCTTCAGAGCCCGTCAAGCCAATCCCGTCAACACCTGACACTTTCTATTCGAGCCCGACGGCCATTTACTTCAAAACAGGCCCATTAAGCATTAACGTGGGCTCCGCTGGACGTTTCGGCGCCGCGTGGGTTAGTCCAAAACAAGCTGTGATATATTCATTATTCATGTAGGCTAAGATAGTTATGAATTATGCAGGCCGCAGCATAAATTGCACCATTGCGACAACACATGAGGACTCCTCCACATGACAGAACTCTGCCGCGTTCAACATGGGTTTCATTAAATACATTTCCTCCAGTGCCTACGCAGTATTTTACCGACTAAATACTCTCTTGATTGCTTCCATTTTTTTCATTAGACGCTGAGATCTGCCCCTAGTGGTAAAACCAACAATTCGGAACACGCTGGAAAATCTAATCTAATGTGATAACATTATCAAATATTCATATGCTCTATGCAGGGTCGAAGAAGAAAAGTACATTAAAATTAAATAACATGAAAGTATAAACATCTCAATATAAGTTCCATTTACTATGGCGGAAAAATATATTACCAAGCGTAAGGGCGGATGGGACTTCATTATTTTAATTATGAAGCAGGGAGCTGGAAATCCGACAGTGAGTTATAGTGTCATCTTTGTTCATGCGACACCCCTTATGCAAATCCGCTTTATAGTTTTGCCGTATTTCTGCAAACATACCGGCCGACGGCAATTTAGTTGCTGTGTGTATTTCTTTTATGCAAAGTGGCGGATATCATTATCAACTGGAAAGGGGATCAATCGCATCCATTTGTTCACGTGTGTCAGTAGGCAACAAATTGGTGAGAGGAGCAATTGCAATTATCTGAGACGTACGTTACGTGTGCACACGTGCCCGTGTGTGATCAAATGGGAATTGGACCTTTCTGAACTACCCACCCATCCATCCATCCATTTTCCGATCCGCTTTATCCTCACAAGGGTCGCGGGGGGTGCTGGAGCCTATCCCAGCCGTCTCCGGGCACTAGGCGCGGGACACCCTGAACTGATTGCCAGCCAATAGCAAGGCAAACATAGACAAACAACCATTCGCGCTCACATTCACACCTAGGGACAATTTAGACTGCTCCATTGACCTGCCACACGTTTTTGGAATGTGCAATAAATGAATATTTTTCCAGTAAGTCTTTTGTTGCAAAGACTTCAGACTCTTTTCTGTCACATTAGCATTAGACACATTAGCCCAACACGGCATGGCTAGCGGAGAGTGCAAAGGTTTGTTAAAAGTTTGTTCCCATAAAAGAATTATATTGTTGTCGTTTTGGATCTAGTTTGGGTTTGTGGTGACAGGCAAGCATGGAATAAGTGATCACACGCTGCAATTTTTGTCTAAAGCCCATTGCCATAAAAGGCAGAAGCACAAAACAGTTTGTTTTGAGTTTTCTATGTCATTTTCCCTGTCATTGGAAGTTATTAATTATTCATATTATTTTTAATTTATTAATTAAAAATAACTTTTTTTTTAAAGACTGAATGGGAGGGGGGGGTAAATATTTTTAGGCCATCTCTAATATATTTAATGAGCCCAGTTCATCTTGTTTTATCATGATAACGTAGTCTAATTTAAATAATAGTCTTGCTTTCAGCAAGTGAGTGAGTAGAGCGGGTTTTTTTTTTTTTTGCCCTGAATTATTTAAAATCCACTTTTGTGGACTTGCTATCATCATCACAAATGTTCAAGAATAAAAAGCCCTTGATGTCGCCGAAGGTTGCATTTAGGTTCCAGCGCCACCCGACCCGTTTAATAGGCCTTGGAGTGGCGGACATTCAGCTGACTGCCTCACCTCCACAACGCAGCTATGGGAAAAGTCAGTCCGAGGCTCTGATTTCACCTCGAGCAGCATCGGCGCTCACATCTCACCAACCGTGCGTGCACGTGCGTTTTAGTGCCGCCGTAAAGCTGAAAACAATGCAGCTTGGCAGCGATATCGTTAAGTGGACTTAATGTGGCTCTTGAGCGCCGCTGACAGCTTTATGTGCAGCCGAAAGAATCAGAATGAGAAGAGCAGGGCAAAGAAATGGACGGCAAGGGGGGGGGCGAGGGGTTCAACAATGCACTCTGAAGGACTAATTGACCTGTCAGCAGACGTTTTATTACTGACATCATCAGCGCGCCCCTCTGCTCCGATTGCATTCATTCCAATGGCCACTTGCTCACATCGACGCTACAAAGCAACATTCGCGGCTCCTGACAGGTGGTTAACGATCCAGAACGTCACGATACAACAAAGTGGGGCGGATAATGACATGCCAAAGCTGTCCAGGACATCTTCAATCAAAATGAGAGGTGGCGGTTGCTCAATCAATAAGGACTTGGCTTGGAGGACCCATTTGGACTCTGTCGTGAACCAAAACGGAAGCGCCACCGACTAAGAATATATTGGCCCCCGAGCCTTCACTGCACACAGCAAGAACACAATACGGGCAACATACAAGACGTGACAATGAAGAAACAAGACTGTTGAGGCCGAGCTGATGACTGTGTGTTCACTGACCAAGTGCATATGTCACAGTATTCGGCAACATCTTTGCAAATCATCTTTGCCCATTAAAATGAATGGAAATGCCAGGGATCCGTTCCAGCCTCCCTCGCAAGAGCAAAACATTTGAATGTGTTTATAATAAGACAAATACTACAGTAATATAATTTATAAAAACATACAATAATGTCATAATTGAACAGAATGTAAATTAAAGGGCATTTGCCGCCTTTTTTGCTTCAATTCAATGGATATAGTGTTGCAGTTTTTGGTGTATGCGCCTTGGCCACCTGGGGGCAGTATCATACAGACATCGCGACACAAGGAGTTTCACAATTGACTCCACAAGCTGCAATATTATTAGTCATTTTTCGCTAGGGATAAAGAATATATGCCTGTGAGTATTGTTATATTATGTATATGTGTTGTCTCATCGTTTGTGTTCAAATATCAGTTGCTAAAAGGCTTACAACACCACAACATTGATAGATCCGTTAGCTCATCTATGGCGTTTTACAATGTTAGCATTACCTACACCGACTTTAGTCAGGCAAAGTAGTGTTGCGATTTAATAGGTGGTTATTTTTTTCAAAGTCCTCGTCTCATGTATTTTTTAATTAACACAAATATCTTAATTTGTACCACATATACATAAATGTTTATGAATATCAATCATATCAAATATACCAAATACACAAGTATATAAAAAAAAGTGGACCGACTTGTGGGTTTATAAATTTGTGGGGAGGTGGGGGTGGGGGGGGTCAAACCATCACCCCCACCTTTTATGTTAGACATGGCTGTCACGCTTTGTCTTACTCTGTGCTTCTTTTTCAGGTTTTGTGCAGCACACCGCCGTCACCATTTGTCACTTTTCTCATTCTCATTCTGGTGTCCAAATGGATTCTTTGCGCCACGTCTTTTCCGCCTCCAGTTGTGTGACAAAGAGTGACAGAAGCGCGCGACACAAAAGCCAACAGAAGAAGCGCACAAGGATAGAAGTCAACAATTTTAGAGCAGAATAGTGGCAAAATGGTTGCACAACACCATGACATAAGCAGTCGGCCAATTGGCATGGAGCCACATGCATGGCTGGCACAGCCTCGTTCCCTTTTTAGGGACAGTAGAGGCCTTGCCCAAGGGCACCCCAGTCATGAGCAGATTGCTGGTCTGGGCACTCAAACTGCTTCCTCTGAAATTCGGAAAAGGTGAGCAGTATGTTTCCTACTGCTCCAAGTGGGCTAATGACTGCTCTATCTGTGGCTTCGGTCAGCTTAAGCAGCACGTCAGCGCATCGACTGGGACATTAGTTAAATCTTCACACTGGGGGCTCATGCACAGATGCCATCAATCAATACAGTACACAGAGTGCCGCTCTTTTCTAAGGTGACAAGCAATGGAGGTGGAGGGCTCATTAAGGCTGCGAGACAAGCAATCAGCATCATAATTCCCTTTGGTGATAACTGCATTGTTGGCTATGGCAGGTGACAGTAAACTGTCCTGAAGCTTTTGGATGGGATGTGAAGAGGAGCCACGATCAAGGCGGTCTTAGATGTGACAAGCAAGCTACTGTGGGGGGATCGACTCAAAAACTGCAGCACCTTCACATCATTAAAGTCTGATTGAGAGCCGCTGGCCGAAGACGCGCACGCGAACGCACACACGTTCTCGTGACGTGAAGAAAAATGAAGGAAGGATAGTCGAGGAAGCGCTACAAAGTGGCGACACTCGTCTAAATGTAAAACTGGAGTGAGCGTGTGTTTAAAAAAAAAAAAAGTGTGCCGAATACGGGAAAGAGGCTCACCCAGGACGGGAACTTGAGCGGCGCTCCTTCCACATCTGCAAGCTGCTGCGATGTTGTGATGTTCTCTTGCAACAGCTCTCTCGCTCTTTCCCTCTAGCACCTCCCAAAACAAGCCCCGACCCTCCTCTTCCCATCAACGGGGGGGTTTCTTCTCCTTCCCCTCTTAGTCGTCGTCGTCTCCCGGCGGGCTTCGTGCCTCGGCGAAGCGGTGAAGGGCAACCACCAGCGGCTCGGACCGATGCTGCTCTCGACGCTCGGTTGCACGTGTGTGTGTGTGTGTGTGTGTGTGTGTGTGTGTGTGTGTGTGTGTGTGCGTGTGTACGAGCGCGCGAGTGTGTGTAGGAGTGCGCGTGTGTGTGTGTGTGTTTTTGAAACAGGACCCTGTTGCTGTTCAGTGAGGCTCATCTGGTCCCCCCGCTTTCTGTCTCTCTCCCTATCAGTGTGTGTGCTGCATTCAAGTCCGACAAGCAAAAAAAGGAAAACAAGCTTTTCGTCGAACATGTTCATCTCACTCTTGGCTGCTGTGAGGAGATGATCTGCATTTACACCCGAGTGTGTGCGTTTGAGAGAGTGTTAGTGAGAGTGAATGATTGACTGGCGGACATATTGACTGAGTCTATGCGTATGAGTGAATTATCAACAGGTGTGCCACAGGACCACCCGCTTTCACTTAATTAGTCCAAAAATCATTTCTTAACCACAAATAGCGTATCTTTCTCATCCACGTTCGCCATCTCAGTGGGGTAGAGTGACAAGACGAACAATTAAATGCTCTTGAGAGGACCGAGGTTACATAAAGAACCTGCGTATCCACTCGGTGCCAATTTTTTTTTTCCAATGTCGAATATGTGCCCTCGTTCCATAAAGTTGTACGTAAGTGTAGGATAGCAAAGGGCAGAAGTGAAGTCGGCATCCAACGAAGTATCTGAGGCGTAACTGTGTGTGAGAGGCTGGATGATGTATATGAGGCATAACTGTGTGTGAGAGGCGAGCGGGAAACGCGAACTCACTGACCACGCCCCTTTATTGAACCAGATGGTCCCTGGCGATGAGCTTGCCACGCATCTAATTATCTGAATGCGGAAAGTTGAGTGCACGACGTACACGGCCTCGTCCTACTTCAGTGAGTTCTGACTGAAAGGCAAAGCTCGAACCTTACATCGCTGATGACTACATGTGAAAATGTGGATCAGCACAGCTTTTATTTTAGTTCGTGTACTACTTTAAGCCCATTGATCGTGAGTGCAATTATGACTTAATTGATTCCCACAAAAGTTTGTGGCGGGCAATTTACGATATTTCCCTTCATTTCTCAGCGGATGCAGGATGAATCTGAACAACAAAATTCAAACGAGTGCAGGTGGTGTGCATCTATGAGCCCGCACAATGATTTGGTACTGTTCCAAATTCGTATTGTTCAGCCTCTGCGCTCTCCTGAGTGCCTTCCCACTTTAATCTGTTTTTTGTCCTTTTGGGCTGCATGCTACAGTGGGTTTGCTGCAATGTTTTTGGGCTGCTGTAACTCGCATTGGACAAACATAATCAACAGGCTGCAGACTACAGTGAGTTATAGAGGAAACTCTCGTATGGAGTCAATATTCCCGCTGGAAACCATGGAAACAAATTGAATCTGTCCCAAACTATGGCCATTATAAAAACTTCTATAAATTGTCTTTGTTTGTGTAGACTTATGTTGAATGTCTTTGGGTGTTTGTACAATACCAATTCAATTTTCTTTTTTTTTTTTTGTCACTAGAGTACAGGTGGTGCGTTTTGCCAAAACCAAACTGCGTAAGATCCAAAACAAATGCTATTTTCATGTCAAGCTAATGCTGCATTTCTTCTTTTTTTTTTTTTCCAATATTATTACAGTCACGCTTTCTTATCACACTGTTGCTTGGAGTCTCATTATTTTGGAGCCACAATGCAATTCTTTGGAGCCATCCATTATCTGAACTGCTTTATCCTCAGGAGGGTCACGGGCGTGCTGGAGCCTATCCCAGCTGTCTTCGGGCAGTAGGCGGAGGACACCCTGAACCGGTTGCCAGCCAATCGCTGGGCAAATTTAGATGAACAACCATGCGCACTCACACTCACACCTAGGGACAATTTAGAGTGCTCCATTATCCTGGCATGCATGTTTTTGGAATGTGGGAGGAAACCGGAATACCCGGAGAAAACCCACGCAGGCACGGGGAGAACATGCAAACTCCACACAGGAAAGCCGGAATCGAACCCTGCACCTCTGCACTGTCAGGCTGGCGGACAAGGTTTCACTGTATTAAAAGTAATCAGACAAACTCTAAAGCCAGTAGCGCAAACTCCAACGATCGACACAAAACCAAAATGTCATTTAAAAGAACCGCAAACTAATTTCCTTCTCTAGGCTCTCTTTCCCACTCCCCACTCATCGTTAACTTTCGTTCTGGTCGTCTGGTTGACTCCGAAATGAGCACCAAGCCGCAGAAGAGCGTCACTTATTCTGCAAGCATCCTAACAACAGATCATAACTCAGCGCCTGAGGCAGTGCAGCAAAAGTCACATGCAGGTGAAAAATGGAAGCTGTACGTTTCACCCTGTCTAACGTTGCCCCCCCCCCCCACACACACACACACACAAAAAAAGAACTGAAATGTGGTTTCTTGACACATCTCTCACTGTACCTGAATCTGAGCAAGATTGTTCTATTGGGCACTCCAAGAGGTGCGCTGCACCTCTTTTGTTGTGACCTTCATCAATGTCCTCCGCTCTTTCCTCAGGAGGCTCCCTACAGTAAAGCACAGTCATAATATTCTCCCCCCGCACGCTTAGCGTACGCGCTTCACACATGCTACCATCCTCCCAGGAGTTTCCCCAGGCTGCATATTGCACCAGCAGTATTCTGCAGTAAATTATTGAGCGGGCGCATGTTGATAAATACGATATACATAAAACATGAAGGCAATGCGCCTCGATAACTGCGCAGGTTGAAAAGGCTGTACGTCAACTCGGGACTCAAAAGTCATTTGTCAATTTGAAAGTGCCCTTATTACTTCTCAGTGCCCCGTGTGAGAGCTGTTTGGGGTGGGTGGGGGGGGGGGGGGGTGCACATCTACAATCAGGGGACACACTGTGCTGTATTTGTTGACTACTGTAACAGTACCATGATAAGCTATTTTCTTCTGCAGTTTTTTTTTTTTGTGCTTCATACGTCAAGGACTATCGACTATTCGAAAATTGTACACATCAAATCTCATATTCCCTGGAAAAATGCTTGTCAGTTGTACTATGTGCCTTGCTCAAAGGCACCGACGGCTTTTTTTGAGCAGGAATAAAAGAAAATGTGTCTTCAAGCAAAGTGTTGAGATTTGGCCCCAAATGTATCTCCTTGCGTAATGAATATTCACATTTGACTTCTCAGCTACCCGTGCGCAATTTTCCTTTGACAGACACCAATCTGTGGGAGCCAGAATTCTGCCCAAACTCCAAAGAATACCGATGTCATGACTTTTGAATTGCGTTTTTAACGCACTGTTGATATTCTGTTTAATTTTTTGTTTGCTTGTTTTTAAATAGCAAACACCCCCTTATAACCTACTGGAAGCGCCGTTACAAACAAGACATATCCAACGTCCCCCGAGTGGGACATAATATACACAATTCAAACAGCTCAAACCGCCCCCCAAGCAATACAATTTCTGCGCATTCCACGATCTGACCAAAGGACACTTGTTAAAAACTACAAAACTTTCCAGTTTCTTCATACAACAACAAGCTATGACGCCTCTGGCAAAGTAAAGCTGTTGGTCCTATTAGTGGACTCCCACGCCATCAAAACAAAAACAAACCAGAGAGGCAAGAGTCAAAGCCACCCACACAAGAGTTCCTGAAAAGAGAGAGCGGATGAATGTTTGATGCGGAGGAATAATGACTTTGGTGAAGTCGTCGGGCCGTAGTCTCACAACATACCCCTTGCAGACACGTTAGTAGAAAATACTCTCGTGGAATGGCCGAGTTTGTTTCAACAAGTTTCTGTCAGAGTCACGCTTTGGCAAGAAATGCAATTGCTACAATTACTCTTCAATATTGTCTCAGAAAAGTTTTGCACACCCCCCCCCCCACCACCACCACCAACCAAATAATAAAAGGCATTGTTTATACAATAAAAACAGTACGGCATGATATTGTACTTTATAAAAACAGTCACAATGAAATATAATGTAAAGAATCAATCAGTTGGTGCGTCATGATTACATCATTGGAGTCGCTTCTGTCAGGTTGAATGCGGCGAGAATAGAAAAACGCGATACCGACAAAGTACAACAAAGGTTGCTGGTAACAAAGAACCAGGATAGATTTTTTTTTTTTCAAATTCACGAGATTAAATTAAAAAAACAATCAAATAAGTACTTACGCAAGAGGAATCAACACGTGAATAATGAAACCTGGTCAAGCACTTGGTACATATGGGTAGTGAGCAAGGTTGAATAATCCGACAGGTGACTGCCAAAAATGAAGTCCTTTTCAAGTCCCTTGATCACAAAGCGCCACATGTGAGGCACTGGAGGGAACGCCCCTCACTCACGCAGGCAACAAGGAAAAAAACAAACAAACAAAAAAAACACAGGGCCGAGAGCAAAACCGGAGTAGCTTCAAGTTTATGTGAATTGGCAATCGAGTGGCAGTATAACAGTGACGCAGGCACAAACAAGTGCTAAGTTCTCAGTAATATTGTTTTCCTCAGAGGATAACGAAAACGCGCCTGTGAGTATTATATTGTCTGTCTGTATGTGCTGCTGCAGCATTTGTTTTCAAATATCCGTAGCTTAAAGCGTTGAACCCACCACACAGATGCTCTTCGTTAGCTGTTTGACGTTGTGTATTGTTTGCTAGCATCTAGCGAAGCGGACCGTCCCAAGATTAAGCTATCCGTTTGTTTTATATGTTTTGTGGGGTCTCTTAAAAAAGTGACGATTTTGGCGAGACGCCTGAGATATTCATGCATTAACACAAGCAGTTATTCCTCTTTTGACTCTTTGTTCTTGAATATTCGCGCTCTACTGTACTATGCACCACATAGTGTAACTGGAATGACAAATGAAACATGACCTTGAGTTAATAATATAATGTGTGTGTGTGTGTGGGCGGTGTTTGAATTCAAGTATCAACTGTCAGCGTGTTGAATGGCTATCAAATAGCAGCCCGCATTGCGATCGGGCGTTGGCTAAAAACAGAGCGCTCGGGAAGTCTTGATGAGTTTGTATTGGGAGCAACCATGTGTGCTTACCTGCTTTGCATGCACGCACACACACACACAAGTTTCAGTGTGCAAGTGTGAGTGTGTGTGTGGACGAGTGTGTCCTTCAGCCCAGTGGCCTCCTGCTGTGCACTGCCCATCAGCCCTTTGGCTGCTGACCACGATGATGGCAAACTGAAAGAAAGAGCAAACGCACTTTCTGAGTAGCGTCCGTGCATGCGTGCGTGTGCGCGCTCTCTCATCAGGGCTGCGTGAGTAATCTGCTCGCCATCCCGCTCGTCAGCCTGCGGCCAAGGCGAGCTGAGCTCAGAGGTGGCACGGGCACTTCACAACCAGGGCAGACATCTTCCTCGGCGAGCGCCTTCGTCACGGCACCAATGCACGCGTACACAAACACACGCGCGAAGAAGCGGCACGAATGTGAGCAATCACTCATGGTGACATGATGATGCAAATGGCGCAAAGGGACCCATCACACGACCATATCAGCCATGAGAGACGTTTTGTTCGGGAGCCAGCAACATGATGAGATGGTGCTAATTGGCAGATATTGAAGATGGTCTAGCCCTCCATTTTCCTGTCCAGATGAGGGTCTCTGGGGGCAGTTAGAGCGTACCCCGAGCTGATTTTGCATGAAACGGGGAGTACACTCCGAATTGCAGGCACATGTCAACAAACAATCATTCACGCTCACATAAACAACCTTTGCGAGACTTCACTGACTCTAAAATGAACATTTTGGAAATGTGAGCGGAAGTTGCAGTACGTTCTTTTGAATAAGTGATTCAAAAAAAGGCACAGAAAGCCAAAGAAAAAGCACAAACAAATAGGACGTGCAGGCCCTTTAAGGACTTTGAAGGTCTTTTTCTGAAAATCTTGGTAGAACTCCAATTGTGGGACCTTGAGTTGAATTCTTTCTGTGACTATGCCCACATTGGATTCAAGCATTACTTCAACAAACAATTTCTTTGGCTTTTATTTTGTTGTCATGAGTAACAAAGATGGGGAAATGTATCCGCATAAAAAGTATACATTATAAAGTATATCAGATATTATATTTAGGCACTGTGGTTGACATAGTTGGCGAAGGGCCTGAATGGCGATCGGATCCCACAAACGAAGACTTAAACAAAAGCCTGTACAAAAATAATTAATACAGAAACACACCGACAAAGTATAAACAGAAATTACTGGTCAAAAGAACGAGGAAAACTATACATTTACAAGAAGCACTTGCAAAGGAAAAAGAAACTTCCAAGATATAAACGAAAGGACAAAAAGTCTAAACAAAAACATGAGCAGGATCAAAGACAAAAAAATAAAATAAATACTTACGAAGCGGGAGGCTGGAGCTCAAAAACACCAATGACGAGATGGAGAGTTCCAGAAAACAACACTTGAGCAAGAGCAGCAACAAGGACAACAATCCAACAAGAGACATCGGATCTTCGCAGTCCTTCACCTGATGATCAAATTGGCAGCAGGGGTGCACGCTGGAGGAAACGCCCTCCACTGCCACCTGCTGGAGACACACAATAACTGGATCATGACAATAATGGGGAGTCCATGTGAAAGTTGCCAGAAATATAAATAATGAAGTATTGTTAAGGCGTGAAAAATTTCTACTTAAGTGCAGTCGCAAAACAAAGCGCTCACCTTCTAAGATTTTTTTCCCTATCATTTTGATGATTATATTTTACAGCTAACAAATTCATCTTGTCAAGAAACATTCAAAATGACTTTTAAGATGGAAATCAAGCAGAAATTGGCCTTCATAAAACCATTTTCCGACACGTTCCTACAAGCCCGATTTAGTTCCACTTTTGAATTGGAACTACTCAAATAAATGATCCAATATTCCATGACAGTCTAACGCATTGAGATGAACCTGTAGATGGTTTTCAGTGTCCGGCAGCAATTATACAAATGACATCCCGCACTCCATGTTTTCCTTCATGTCGCAACTAATCGAAGGTGTTAACGTTTTTGCATCTATCCTTCAATACAATGACTTGAACTGAGGATTTGCATGGCGCGGCCAGGCAAGGCTAGGATGAGTAATGAGCTGGTGCTGTGGGGTGTTAGCGTGACGTTGTTTTCCGTGCGTAGGTTAGCACAGTCCCACGCCTACCGGCCCGGACGGAGGTGAGTGAGTCACCAGAGATCAGCCCAAGCAGGAATAACAACAGAGATGCATGGGAGTGGATTAGCGCGGCCGTGGCGTGGAGAGAGAAAGCCAAGGGAAAAAAAATAGCCTTGCAGGAGACGTGTGGGCATGCAGGAAGTCGACTTCCTTTTGTGAATTGATGGATGAAGTAGAGATTGAAGAGGAGAGCCTCTCAGCCAAAAAAAAAAAAAAAAAAAACTCTCAAGACTTGGTAAAGCAGCATGTGGTACTTCGCTAAAGGCTATTCTTGTGCACTGTGTTCCATTCATCCACCCATTGTAAATTAAACATTCAGATACTGACAGCAACAGGATACACTATGATGTACTTTGGTGTTAACTAGATATGAAGTCGCCACTCTCTTACAAGCTATGTGGTTTGTGTTATGAGCTAAAATTCAAGCTGTCAACAAGCTAGTAACTTGTAGCTTGTGGGATACTCACATACCTACAGTATCTATCTACAGCTACAATTCAAGCTATCAACAAGCTAATAATTTGTAGCTTGCGGGATACTCACAGATGTTATTTGTCTACTCTATACCTACAGTATCTAGCTCCAGATAAAATTCAAGCTACCAACAAGCTAATAACTTTTAGCTTGTGGGATACTCACAGATTTTATTTGTCTACTCTATACCTACAGTATCAATCGACAGCAGGGGTGCCCAAACTTTTTTGACCGAAGATCGACTTTTCGATCAACCAACCTTCCACGATCGACCCGTTAATGCGCACGCGCGCATGCGCACGCGCTTACACACGCATGCCGTGACAAGCAATAGCCTGACGCGGAGGCATGCGACGAACTTTTGCTACAATCGTAGCTCACGCGTACCGTTTTAAAATGCTTCTCCAGATTCCCATTCTTTGCCCGCGCCCTCGGTGAATTGTACATGAAACAAACTCTGAATGAGAATAATGAGAACGATAAAAGGTATAGCGCAACAGCTGCGACAAGCTGCAATTGCAGACTGCTGAGCGCTAACAACAACTTCCGGTGACGCAGGTCACGCGCCACCGCAAGTTAAAGACTTACCTGCTTTATTTTACTTAATTTTTTAAATACTTTTTGTCAACGTGAGACTGGTGGGATGATTAGGGTGCAGTGTGTATTAACACAAAAAATATATTACTAACATGCACAGAGGCAAGAAAATGTTTGTTTTTTTTTCCTCTTCACCCCTTGCGATCGACTTGGGACCAGTCGGCGATCTACCGGTCGATCGCGATTGGCACCCCTGATCTACAGTATCTATTTATTTGTTCTGTACAATTTCTTTATTGTAGTAATATACAGTAGGAAATACTAAAGCCAACAAGGCAATGTCAAGGCAATGTCGTGTTGGATGCTGTGTCAATGTACTTCTGGACAGCCGCATAATACAAGAGTGACATAACCCACACAGAGAGAAAAATGACCCCCATATCGTCAGGGGACAAAGGAATGGAACAAAAGTGACCGTGAGCGGCATGTTTCTGGGTCAGCGCCAGTTCTGAGACATTCGAAAGATGGCCGGCGGCCTCCCGGGGGCACATCAGTGGGTCAACACGAACAAAACCGCCAGTGGCGTCCCGCCAATGTCAGGAGAGACAAACATAAGGGCACATCGCTCACACTCGGGGATGCATCTGTCATTAAGGCGGACTAATTTTTGCGTTTTAACGTCTGCCTCGACGGTGACGCGAGCTTGATGGATGACGCAGCGCATCAATGAAATGATCAATAATTGATTGTTGACATGTAGACTGGAAGAAATCAGCAGGCGTGCAGGTTTTTCATACTCACCATTGGGTTGAGGATTTGACCCGGCACATTAGGTTAAGATTTTGCTCCAACAAGGGGTAAAAACAATCCACACTGATGAGTTAAAGCTACCGAAAAAGGGGTTACCGGGCTATCATTATTATATTAGATTAGATTAGATTAGATATCCTTTATTTGTCCCACACTGGGGAAATTTACAGCCTTCAGCAGCAAGATTGTGGGTAGAAAGAAGAGAAAAGAAAACACAGTTCAATTAAGTGCAATATAAATACAAACATGGATAAGGTCAATAATTAAGTGCAATATAATACAATAGTCACAGTACTATTCACATATGTTGTCATATCATTTAAATAATTCTATGCTTTATTGATTTATTCATTTTTTATTCAGCAGCCTGACAGCAGTCGGTAGGAACGAGCGGCGGTATCTCTCCGTCTTGCAACGCGGGTGTAACAGTCTCTGACTGAAGGAGCTACCGAGTGCTGTCAGGGCTGGCTGGAGGGGGGGGGAGGGACTGTCCAACATAGCTTTTAGCTTAGCTAGCATCCTGCTGTTGCCCACCTCCTCCAGAGTGTCGAGGGAGCAGCCCAGGACAGAACCAGAACCAGAACATATTGCGGTTTAATAAAATTCGGCAAATAATTGCCGACCATTTCTAACAAGAAGAACAAGAAGAAACTGTCCCCTGTCACACGCTAAAATATGCTAACTTGTTTTATCGACCCAACTGGGGGTTATCAAAGACCTGTAAGTCGTCAATGAACCAAGGAGAAGGAAAAGAAGAAGAGGACGACGAGTATTTATAGAGAGGAGTAGGAGTACGCGCTACTTGGATTGAATTTTCCCCCTCAGCCAGGTAGTCCATTTCAAATTTGAAAACCTTTTGGAGTTTTTCGCGTTAGAACAGATGCAGACAGCATGCTCCTGCTGACTGTACTTTTACAGGTCAGTAGACTGGCAAATACGTGGAGATGAAACGTGGGTGTATGCGTGTGTGTAACTCTGGTCAGGAACCAGATGATGTCGATCTTTTGCTAAACAGTGCAGCCATTTGAATCAAATTAGATTTTTTTCATCTGTTGGACTATTTTTTTTCTTACTGACAGATTGATGATAGACGGACACGTAAAATGTACTGACGGAAGCGCAGTGAAAAGAAAATGACAGACTGACTTGTCTGACGATTACAGTTTGGTTGGGCTATAAAAAAAAAAAAAAAAAATGGATTGATGATGGTGGACGGGTGCCCGTGGCGCTGACGGATGATGAATGACGGACCGGCAAAAGTTTGTCAATGACACAGAATCTACCAGAAATTCCAATTGACGAAAGCTCGCGCGTAGGCACTCGACAAAAAAAAAATATATATATATATGAAGCCGATGATTTTCGAATGCTTCATTTTGGATGCACGTATGCAAGGAAGTAAGAGAGTTACAAAAAGATGAAAAGTGAAGCGACATGAAAACCAGAACGAGAAGAAATGACCTGACAAAAAGTGCGGCGGTGGGCGGCGTGACTATAAATGAAAAGGCTCTCACACATCATGAAGAAAAACAGCCAGCAGGCCCGTGTCGTCCATCAACACAAGTGAGCGTTCCGGTTCCCCCCCGACGAGCTGAGGCAGCAAACCAGGAGGGAAGGTGAAAGATCAGTCATGGCGGAAGTGATGAGGGAGCAAAGTGAGCTCGGGCAGCTCAGAATAGTCCGCCTGGGCAGATGAAATCGCATTTCACAGGACAATGTTGCTCTCTTGTTATCTTGTCAAATAAAAATAGAGTTCGACAAAGAACAGGAGCTTCGTCTGGGCTTGTCTTTTTCCCTCCTCTCTTATGTTTTTCTTTTCATCTGCAAAAAAAACGAGTGCGGTAAAGGTGACCCTGCCGCAGACTCTCGTTCTGTATCATGCTTTTGGTCTTTTTTTTTTTTCTATGTCTCTTGGACAGGTTGCGTCTGTTCCATTTTCTTGCACCTTGTGGTACAATGACGATAAAGCTATTCTGCTTCTGAATTTTGAAGCATTTGCTAAAAGCACTCGCAATTGATGTTCACTTTTATCGGGCTCCACTTGGGAAAAAAATCTGAGGTCATGCATCACCTATTAAGCGCCTGGTGTCAAACTCTGTTTTCTTAATAAGAGGCCTAGTGTGCTTGCTTCAAGCTATTTATTTTCATTCCCAGTTCCCCTGTAAATCTGACATATAAAAGGGCATCATACGTTATGTTTCACCAAACATGTTGAACCAAACCATATGCTCTATATTTTCATGACACGAAAGTCAGCTGTCTTAATGCTAACATCTAACTTGAAATGCCATAAACAGGCTAACGGATATTAGCAAAAACATTTCGGTTATTATAAATCTTCAAATAACTGCTACTTTAACATTCATTCATCCATTCATTCATTTTCTGAACCGCTTTATCCTCACTAGGGTCGCGGGGGGGGGGGGTGCTGCAGCCTATCCCAGCGGTCTTCAGGCAGTAGGCGGGGGACACCCTGAACCGGTTGCCAGCCAATCGCAGCGCACACAGAAACGAACAACGATTCACGCTCACACTCACACCGAGGGACAATTTAGAGTGTTCAATCAGCCTGCCATGCATGTTTTTGGAATGTGGGAGGAAACCGGAGTACCCGGAGAAAACCCGCGCAGTCCCGGGGAGAACATGCAAACTCCACACAGGGAGGCCGGAGCTGGAATTGAACCCGGTACCTCTGCACTGTGAAGTCGACGTGCTAACCACTTGACGACCGGGCCACCCCTACTTTAACATAAAACAAACAATACTGACAGCCATATATTCTCCTGCTTGCCTGTATATTGGAAACACCCACTGAAAAACAGAGAGAGTATAGAAATAAGTCAAGCAGAAATGGAGTCACCAAAGGTACACGTTCACTAGCTACGAGTAAAATCGACTAGTCCGTACAACCCCGGGCGTCCACTAATCTCTTTTCTCAAGGACAAAAATCACAAGGTCCAAGGATGCGACGAGCGGGCTGGCGTGGTCATTGGCATCCGAATGGATTCCCGTGATCCTCTCTGCTCGGCGCTTTGTGTACTACTGCCCCAGCTAATGAGCGTTTGCAATCGCAGCCAAGCGCTGAACGCGCTGCCCACAATGACAGCGCAAGAGCCAGAGCGGGCACGGACCCCACGACGACGCCCGGCTGCAGTGGGCTTTAGGTGGGCTTTGCGTTATCCCCTTAAGAATATGTGTGCGCACATTTGTCACATGTGCCACTTGAAGCTCGTCGTCTCTGCTGGGAATGAAGCGGATGTATATTTAACGACCGCATTTACGGGATGAAGTATTACTTTTATTTTTGGCTCATTTTTTTCGGATTTAGGACTCGGTGACCTTTCAAAGTGTGTGTGTGTATGCGTGTGCGCTGAGAAGAATCCATCTGCTCCTCTCTGGAAACTTCATCTCCCTTTCAAACCTGAAAGCATGCTTGTCCGCTCCTGCAAAGTTACCGTATGAATTTTCCGATGTGAAATTATCAACTGTAATACAACTCTTTCATTCATTTCTACCTTTCATTAATTTCTGCTCATAATAGTTCATTCCCATCAGGAACTTGATGTTATTTGCTCTATATTGCGTTTGTGATGATGCGTCATCGGGAAAAAGCAATATCTTCATTATTATATTTGTCTCGAAAACGGATTCCGTTATTCGCTTTGTAGCATATTTACAGCTTATAAAATTAGCACAATGTCATGTCCGCTTACATTTCATTTTGTTGTTTAACCCTTTCGGGGACAGCGGTTACGACGGTGGACAGCTTATCATGTTAGCAGGTTGCAGGTTATCGTTATTGGTGCATGAAAGGGTTAATATTGGGGTTTAAATGAAGATTCTTGTTATAGTCAATTTGAGTCCATCTACGAGTCAGGATCAACTTTAGATGCCTTTGAAACTTCACAATTTACCAGGAAAGTTGAGATTTTCCATTGGTTTTCATATTTATTTTATTGTTACAATTAATTCATATTTGTCAAGCTCCAATACAATTTTTTCGACGTAGGATAAATATAAATTGACCACAAGCATACAATGTACATGCAAATAGCAAAAAATAAAATAATTGTATGAGCGCTTGGTGACAGGGTGGACATTTTCGGCTAATGTTAGCATTTAGAGAGCACATGGTGGACCTTCACTTAGGATGCTGAATGTGTATTTTTTTTTTTTTTAACAAATGTATTTTAACTTTCTCATTTTTATATCAAATTTGATCACTATGACACACACACACACACACACACACACACACACACACACACACACACACACACACACACACGCACACACACACACAATGAGAGTTACAAAACAAGTGTAAATATTCATTCTGCAACTGTTTAGGTGTCTGTTCAAGAAAGACAAAATGTTGGTCACAATGTAACTGAAAAAAACAAATAAAAGAAAGTTTTCTTAAAAGAAGAGCATCATTATACCGTATGTGTGCAAAGGGGTGGCCATTTATAATAAGACCTCAAGAGTTTCGTTATTCTGCGACATTTTCATGATGTCTCAGGGATTCTGATGGCACCAAAGTCCCTTTACAGTAAGACGGAGTGCAAATATATTCAAGTAAAATGGATTATCCCGCTTTAAACTGACAATTTTAGAAGTGTCTTTTCGGCAGCAGGGGCTTTACTCGGAGACGGCATGCAAACGTCAGGGTGAACAAAAGGCATCGGATTGATCTGCCTGCCAGGAGTCCGAAGAAAACGGCCAAGTTGTCCACGTTGTTACCCAGCAGTGGCTTTGATTAATCCACCTTTTGTCCTAATCCAATCTCAAATCCACTCCATCTCCTAACGCTCCGTCTACACAAAAGAGATCGTTTGCTTTACTGAGAAAACAAAACAACGCCGGGGTCAGCTACTGCTAACTCCCTCATGGCTGGGACACTGTGGGATACTGAGCTATGGTGAGGATCAGCGTGGGCAGAGAAGGAGAAAAAAAAAAAAAAAAACCTCTCACTTGACCGGGCAAAGCAAGTGAGTATGAGGAACGGTGTGGAAAATGTGATCACGGTTTCGGTTTGAGGCTGTCAGGAGTAAATAAAGACAACGCGGCCACGAGGCATTGAGGGCAGGATTAGGGTGCGCTGCGGATGCCGAGGCTGCTTCCATTGCTCATTTCCACCTTTGTGCACCACGAGCGCGAGTGAGTGACTTTAAACTGCTTAGCGTCAGCAGCAGTAGGGCTAAGCCTGCAAATACATACATAAACTCCCATACACTTCATTAGGTAAGCCTGTACAATCCTCACACATCTAATACATCAGCGGTTTCACACAAAAACTGTACGCAGTCCTTTGAGGATTATCTTGTTTTGTCTTTGAATTTGTAAATAAATTCACTTTTTTGTTGTATAAATCCTGCCTTGCGTCCCTGCTTCCCTGTACTTGGGGGTGGGGGGGCTGTGGGGGGTTCCAACACCACGACAACGTCCAGTTGGTGACACCTGACTTGGACATAAGGCTCGGTTGTGCCCTCCGTTCGAACTCATTTTCATTTTGAGGCTGTCAGGAGTCATTTTTACGTCACGTGCCGCTTTATTACCGTATTTTCCGCACGACAAGGCGCTTCAGGCGCATCTTCAACGAACGCCTATTTTAAAACTGTTTTCATATACATGGCACACCGCATTATGAGGCGCATAGAAGCTACAATCATGGCTGCGGTTGCGTTATGCATCCTTTAGATGGAGCTACGCTAAACGGAATACAATACAATACAGCTTCATTTATATCGAGCCTTCACAACTGCTGCAGCTGTAACAAAGCGCTTTGCAGAACAGTTAAAATACGATGTCCGAGAAATCAGTATATTGATCCATATAGAAGGCGTATCGGATCATAAGGCGCACTGTCGGCTTTTGAGAAAATTGAATGCTTTTAGGTGGGCCTTATACTGCGGAAAATACGGTAAAAGTCATGGTATAAAACAGTTTCTACAAGGTAACTCGATCCCGTTTATAAACTATCATTTCTATTTCTTTTAACGATCTGCTGTGTTACACATCACACCGGCAGCTGCTTATAATATTTTGTCCGACTGAAGTATGAGGCAACCAGCATGATTATTTCTGTAAAGGCAGCTCTTGTATCGGATCGCATGAGATCGAGCACAAAACAAGTTCAGACATCATTTTGCTCATTATATAATGTCTAAAAATAAAGCAAGCTGCGGATTATGAAGAGAATTCCGCCACTTTTGGAGGCCTCATGCACGAGTTGCTCTGATTCCCGCAGATCAGTGACATCACTTTCTACAACTTCTGAGCCGAGACGAAAATAACTTCAGGAAGAGGGAAAAACGTGGCAGCCTGTTGAAGGGGTCCGTTGGGGCTTACGGGAGGTTGGTCGTAGACGTTACCAGTGAGCAGCAAGTTTGGTTGGATGTACCCTGCGTGGTTCAAGTGATAGTTCTCATTTTTTTGCGGATGTCGATGCTTTTGGAGTTACATGCCATTCAAATTAATTGGAATCGGTCGCTCGGACGTGCAGTGTAAATCCAGCCTTAGAAAGCTTCAGGGTAGCTTACAGTTCACGGAGAAAAAGAAAAGCACCTATTTCCTTCTGCGGTTTTATTTTGGTGCAAAGCGAGCGGGGTGAGGTCAAGTGTAACGCACGCACTCATGCTAAATTGGACGTTCGTTTGCCCGCTTGCATGCAAACACGCAGATGGAAACTGCAAACTGCTCAGCGGGACGCCTGTTTGCCATTCAGGCCCGTTCGAGAGCTTCCGAGTGGAATAAAAGCTCGCCTAAAAGAAAATATGATCTGCGCAATAAATTAGAGGCATGTTTCGCTTACCCCCTCGCCCACCATGTGTCATCCCAGCTTTTGTTTATATTGGAGACAACATACGCTTTTGGAAAGGAAAAAAAAAAAAAAAAAGCATTTTGTCTTCTTTCTCGGCGTGAGCGATATGCT